AGAAAGTCAGGGGGCCCTGCCTGGTGCCCTGCCCGCCCAGGGTACGCACTCTGGAAGTCCAGCTGTAGGGAGACGACGTCCTTAAAGAGGATGCCCTCCTGCTTGGCAAGCTGCCCAGCCTCCTCCTGGGGGCCCTGCTCCCCGACAGCCAGCTTAAGCATGTCGTCGTTCATCACTCTTGGCTCCAGTGAGCTGCACAGCCGGTTCATCTTCCCTAAAAAACATTGCATTTGTGTTCCACAATCTACTTCTCCCTCTGCCTGAGGACAGGGGCTGGCAGGCGTCCTTTGAAAGTGCTGGGGAGCACTGTGGCGGGTAAGGACACACAGACGCTGCCCCCTCCCACTGCTTGGCCCCCTGCACCGGGGAGTTAGGACATTTGCACTAAGGCTGCTCCAGGGCTTCCCAGGGCAACCACGTATGCCCATCCTGCCTGGTGCCCTTCCTTGGCCCCACAACCACCGCTGTGACCCTACCCCGGACAAGTGGATGGTGCCACACTGGTCTCTTACCCTCTGGAGTTCAGCTTCCCGATGGCCGTGGTCACCTTGGGCCTTGGGCTTCTGTGCCCACCCTTGTTCAGGTTTCTTGGTGCCAACCACTGAACATTATCCTCAGCAGCCCCAGCCAGGCACGCTAGCCCGCGGCTGCCTCCTCTGAGCGCCTCAGCCAGCCAGACAGCCATGTCTGTGTCGCCTCCCCCTGCTCCCCCCCATGCGGCCCAGTGTGTAGGAGGGTGCCCACCAAGCTGGCCATTCATGTTCCCCTGAGAAATGTGAGCATGGGCCTCAGGATAAGAGTGCCCACCAAGCTGGCCATTCATGTTCCCCTGAGAAACGTGAGCATGGGCTTCAGGATAAGAGTGCCCACCAAGCTGGCCATTCATGTTCCCCTGAGAAACGTGAGCATGGGCCTCAGGATAAGAGTGCCCACCAGAGCTGGTTGCTTGAGCTGGGGAGAAAGTGGGGCAGATGAACAGAGAGAAGCAGAGATGGAAATCTGGGGGATCCAGGGGAAAATAGACAGAAGGACAGACAGACTGGCACAGACAGAGGCTTCTTCTTGCTGGCTTTCCAGCCCCTAATGTCCTTGATTTCAGGCCCTGTGAGAGTTTCCTACTTCTGGCATCAAATCCTCCTTCACTTAAACTAACCCAGGAGGTTCTGTTGTTAATGGTCCAAAGGAATTGGGTTGAGATACCGCAGGCAAAGTGGGGAGCTGGGGACTCGGTCAGCCACACTGTGAGGATGACCGAGCTGCCATTCCTGGCTGGGCAGAGCCACAGCCCTGGGAAGCCAGCGCATCCGACCTCCTCTCATCACCAGCCCTCTGAGTGAGAACATCCCGAAGACTGTGCCCGCAGGAAGACACACTCTCCGCCAGTCTACTGGAGATCCCCAGATCCCGCCTCCTGAACCTCTGCAAACTCAGTTCTCCCTCCTACTTCCCACCCTGCTTCTCACCTCGCTGCTGACTTCACTTGCTATCTTTGTCTGCACGTGTCCCCAACATCAGGGCCTCCCTGAACCTCCCATCCTCCCTGCTCTGCTAGCCCTCTACACCGGAAGCCCCTGTCCTCTGCCCTTTATCCACTGGGATCTGTTCGGAGAGAGTGCTGGTGGCGATGGTGTGCACCACAAACCCGATGGGCCTGGCAACCCTGCCACTTGGCCTTAGACTGCCACTGCCCATCTGCCCTCCCCGCTCCTTCCCCACCATCCATTGAAGGCAGCTTACGTAAATATGCATCTTCCATTTCTGGATTTTGCATGATCAGATGTCCCATGCTTTTAGCTCTCATGCGGCCTTTCCTTCTCCACCCAGAGAAGGCACAGCCTCACCTGACCCCAACCCCATCCCTCCGACCCTCCCCCATGCCTAGTCTCTACCTGCACCTTCCATCTTCCCGCTCCTCCCATTTGTCAACACTGGCTACATCTCCTGCCCACAAAAGATGTTTCCCGCCCTCTGCCTTTCTCTATATCCCTACTCTTCTGAAACAAATTTTTCTAAAATTTCCCATAACTTGACACCCAGTTGCCTTTGGGGACATTTTAATGTGCTGTATTTGGCAGATATTACCTGTAAGGTGTTTGTACTTTTTCAAAAAAAGGTGCTGTACTTGAGGAAATTATTCTTAATTCTGATTTCAAAACTTCAACTGACTTATCGTCCCTCCCACATCAAGGCCTGGCACCTATGTCAGATCAAGCTGCTTTCGGTCCAGCCCAACCATCGCCATGCGGGGCAGCTGCCTAGCCCACGAGGACAGGATGACAGGATTTAGACCCCGACTGTGCATCCTTTGGCAACTCACCTCACCCGGCTAAGCCTTGAATTTCCCAGCTATACTAGATGAATAATTCCTCCCGCCTACATTTGTTTAAGATCATTTATTTAGTCTACACACATGTAATGAATATCTACATGTTATGATTACGACAGATCTCCTTATCTCTGTTTCAGAATAAATCATATAGTCATACAAATGTTTAATTAGAAACTATGACAAATTTGTAGGTGTCGGGAACTATGATAGCATGCATTAGGGGCACCTGGCCTGGCCAGGGAGGTGGGGCTGAGCTCTGAAGGAGGAGTAGAAAGAAGGAGAGGGAACTGCACAGTGAGGGAAGATGTGGGAAGAGAACATGTTCCACTTTAGCTGAAGTGATACAAGCTTGGAGAGGCCTACAGGAGCTCTGGGAAGCTCCTGGGGCTTAGCAGGGGCAGTGACATGATAAGATTTTAATTTTAAGAAGCTCACTCTGGGGCAGAAGAATCTCTCTTATACATATTGGTCAAAAATATCTGACAAAAGACAACCTCAGCCTGCTGAGACAGGAGTCCCCCTTCTCTTGCAAAGGTACTTCATACTTGGTAGTGTACCAAATCTGCTTTGAATTGAACTGAGAAGTCCTATAAAAAAGATTCTGCCTGGCCAGTGTGCTCAGTGGTTGAGTGTCGACCTATGAACCAGGAGGTCACGGTTTGATTCCCGATCAGGGCACATGCCTGGGTTGTGGGCTCGATCCCAAGTGTGGGGCGTGCAGGAAGCAGCTGGTCAACGGTTCTCTCATCATTGATGTTTCTATCTCTCTCTCCCTCCCCCTTCCTCTCTGAAATAAAAATATATTAAAAAAAAAAAGCTCACTCTGGTTGTACTACTGAGAGTGACAAGAGTCATGAAGTGAGAGATGACCAAGGAGGTGGTGAGATGTGGATGTGAAAGATCTCTAGGAATTTATTTTATATGTAGGACTAGTCATTTGCAGTTTTCAGATAAGAAAATGGAAGCTAGTTAGGTTAAGTCACATGCCCAAGTTTATACATCTAGTATATAGCAGAGCTGGAGAACATGACTCCAGAGGCATTTCTTAATCATGACTCAGCTGTTCCCAGGGCACTGTAGACCATCACTGTCACTGCCCATAATGTTTTCCACAGCTGTTCTGCGTCAGGGTCAAGGCCCAAATAGTCCTCCCTAGACTCCCTAGAGTCTAGAGGGTTTTTATCATAATTTACCACCCAACCTGGGTTCCTGTTGTCTTGCCTGTTGATAGTTTTGTTGGTGAAGACCACAGGTAGGAGGTAGAGAATGCGCCTCAATGGAGTAGCCTCTCAGGAAGAAACAGATCCAGAATTGTCTTAGGAAACAACAATCTGGAATCAACTGGATCTGAAAAATAAACAGTTTACTGAGTGCTTACTCTGTACCAACTGCACAAGTGTTATTTAATTACGTCAGCTCTGGAGGCCATTACAGAAGATTCCTAGTGCCCTAATTTCCCAGATAGGAAAACTAAGACTCATCAGGGGAAGGAAATTGTCTAGTCATACAAGTAGCTACTGACAAGGAACAGACATGGAACTTGGGTATCCATATGCCCAGCCAAAGTTCTTTAAATAGCACCAAGATGAAGAATAAAAATAAGAGAAATCATTTAATGACAGTTATGAAGTGGGATATAAGAGTTGAATTCTTGAAGAAGTTATCAGTGGATTTTCTTTCAGGTTCCTTTCTCTCTAAGAAAGGGATCAGGCCAGAAGCCTAGGGGATCAAACCGCTTAAAAATCTCTTCGGGCTGGCCGGCCCGGGTGGCTCAATGGTTGAGCATCAAACCAACGACCCAGAAGGTCACAGTTGGATTCTGTCAGGGCACATACCTGGGTTGCAGGCTCCATCCCCAGGAGGGGGTGTGCGGGAGGCAACCGATCAATGATTCTCTGTCATCAACGATGTTTCTCTTTCCTTCTCTCTTCCTCTCTGAAATCAATACAAAATATTTTTAAAAAATCTCTTCGGGCCCTGCCCCCTGAGGCAATGCTTCCTTAGTATTCCTTTCTAATCCAGAGGCTTGAAAGCCCAGGACTAGAGTTTTTACAGATGGGAAGGGCCGGGCCAGGTACCTCGGAGAAAGAAGTCAGAGAAAAGAGTTAAGTCGGGCGCTGTTGGCTCTGCCAGTCCTCCCAGAGATTCAGCTCCCGGGTCTCACCTTCTCAAGCGCAGGCTACCCGGCTGGTTCGCGCAGAAGTCGTTCCGCTCAGTTGCTAGGAGAGCCAGAAGACGCCACTCCGTTGCTAAGGGGAAGTTAAGCAGTAAACATCCTGGGTGAAAGTTGGTAAGTCGCGTAAAAACATTTCTGGGTGGGGAAATACTCCTGTCACCAACCAGCTTTAGAGAAAACAAATGTTCCTCCAATCAGCACTTCTCATGGGCGGGGATCTTTCTAGCCTCGTCTCTTTCCTGCTCCTACTTGAGTGATTGACTTTCCTGTTCTCCAATAATGGTAGGGATTCTAGATTGACCAATATATAGATGAATGAAAACACACAGACTCGTTCGGAGGCGGGCCAGGGGAGGTGCCGCTGCGCTAGACCGCGATCCCTGCGACTTCGCTTTCTTCTTCGGCCAATCGGACGCCGGGGGTAGGTGGGTCTTCGTGTGGGGACCAATCGGAGGAATGCCGGGCAGGCGTTGCCCAATAGGAGTGCGGCAGGAGGCGGAGGGAGCCGAGCGTTCCGAGGGTGGGGCGGGGGCAGGTGTCAGTCAGGTCGGGAGCGCGAGGGGGACTGCGGAGACCCCGGCGGCTGACAGGGCGCCGGCCGCTGCCGTGCTGTCCGCCCAAGATGGAGTTCCTGCTGGGGAACCCGTTCAGCACCCCGGTGGGGCAGTGCCTCGGTAAGACCGCGCGGAGGACGGGCGTCCGGGTGGGCGGCGGCGGCGGGGACCGCGGCCTCTGCGGGTCACTGGTGCCACCCCGCGGGCGAGCCGGGCATCCTTGTCATCGGGCCTCTGAGGACCCGCTGGCTGGGCCTGCTCACCAAGCCAGCGCCATTCTGCCAGGCGGCGCCGGAGGCCCCCCTTGGACGTGGAGGTCCTCTGCGCGTCCCTACCCGTCGGGGCCCAGCCCTTCCTGGTACCTTAGAGGTGGTGCCGGCGGCTGGGGGCTCCTGGGAGAGGCCACTGCGTGCGCCCCCACCGGGCTCGCCGCCGCCGTCAGGACCCGCTTCCCCACACCCTCTCCCTTCGCCCCTGTCCCTCCTCTCCAGCCCCAGTCCCCCTCCCCCGGGCACCCTCCCGAGACTGTGGCCTGCTCCAGGCTTGCTGATGAGACTGCCACTCAGCCAGCTGCCCGAGGGCCGGGGGGTGAGGTGCGGGGAGGGGGGACGGGGTTCCCGGAGGGTGGTTCCCCGGGCAGGAGGAGGCGGCGGGCCCTCTGCCTCGGGAAAGGAGGGAGGCCGTGCGTTTAATGGTTAGAGCCCTGGACGCTCCCTGTGACCTTGTGCAAGTCACTGCCCTTTCTGCTTTGACGTTTGCCCTGTCTGTCAGGTGAGGTGCGTGGAGGGGAGATGGAGGTGCTTTCAAATCCTAACGCTTTGATCCCCCGTGGTCGTCTCTGCGCGATGACTGCTGCGCCCTGCAATGGGACACTTGCCGGAGCGGCGATCTTCGGGTGCCGTGTGCAGAGGGGTGCTCGGCCGGCCTGCTCGGCCTGGAGAGGCCGCCGGCGCCACGGGGGAGGGGCGCCCTTGGGCCCGTCGTCCTGGTAAGGAGGGCCCAGGGCCGGCGAAGGAAAACCGGCCACCGGCTGGGGCTCCTCACGACAAAGCAAGTTGGCCTTTTCACCGAGGCAGGAGCGATGCCAGGTGCCCGGTCAGGAGTGCGGATGAGCTGCCTTTAAAGCTGGGCTCCGCCTGTTGGCGGACGGTGGTCAAGGGTCTTTCCCTTGGGAATCCCTAGGCCTGGCTGGCTCAGGCCGCTGTGCTCACTCATTTCTCGCTCTAATGGAGGACGTCCAGCCTACTTTTCAGCCTTTAGGGAGGCCTCTCCCGTTGGCTGACTGGCATTTGGGAACCTTTCTTGTCTTTGTGTTGTAACATCTTGGGTAAGGGGTGAGGGTCCCTGGGTGTTGGAAAGTCTTTTCTCACCTTTACACACTATGTGTCCCTAGAGTCTCACCCTCGTCGCCCCTCTTCCCTTCCCCGGGTGCTCTGTCACTGCAGCCATGTTCCAGACACGTTTTCTCCGTTGGGTGTTGAACTCCAGCCAGTTACTGGAGGGAGCCAGTAAGCTTGGGGGAGGGCATGTCCTTTCTTTTCTATTTCCTTTACAATAGGAAGCTGTACACCTGTGAAATGCCAAGGCCGCTGAGAGGTAGAAATTAAAGGGGATTTAAAATATGCAGATATAAGGGATGTAGGGATACAGATCCAATGGAAAGGACATGGTGCTGTGTCAGGAGGACGGGGCTTTTGAATTTTGCCTTGTCCATTTGTTGGCTGTGGGGCCCCAGAAAATTGTGTAACCCTTCTGAGCCTTAGTGTGCTGAGAGAGAGAGGGAGGGAGAGAGAGAGATTTGTACTCACAGAGCCCCGAGGTTTAAGTGAACTGATGGCTGTAAAACAGTTTAGTGCCTGGAACATAGTAGAGGTTCAATAAATTGTAGCTGTCACTGTTAATAACAGAGTAATACAGTTTGGTTGAGAGGCTATGTGGGACAGCTGGCCCCATCACTTAAAAAAACATACCTGACCGCAGAGTGAAGCCTCCTGCTTGCTAGTCCGTCACCTGGCAATACCTATGGAATCTCACAGTTCAGTTCTGTTCTAATGTATATTCTGTGCTGTGGTGACAGAGTGAAAAAGTGATTTTCAGGACATTTAGTATTGTTAGTATTCTTTTAAAAGTATGCCCCAGGGGGTTGGGAGGGAGGGGAATGTGGAAATAAAACAACAAAGCTAATGATTGAAGCAGCAGCTATGGGGTACACAAAGCAGTTCTCCAGCCATTATGTGCTCCTCACAGCTACTTTGTGAGGATGCTGTTGTCTTTCCACATCAGAGAGGGGACTCTGAGTCTCAGAGGAGTGAAGGGACTGACTGGCTGGCAAGAGGGGGAGCTGGGGTTTCGCAGCTGCCTGGCCCTCGGGAGTTTATGGTATGGGGAGGGAGGACAGAGGTGCATGGAACAGTGATGACTGAGAGAAGGCCACTCCGTGGCTAAGCGCTCAGTCGTGTAGTGGGCTTGTCGGTGCTGTTAGGAGTCCAAAAGAATTCAGAAGAGCCAGGGTGATGGGACTGGTTTCCTTGGGTCTGAGGGCTGTTCATGAGAATGGGTGAGGATTCCAGAGGCAAAGAAGAGGATACCCTGTGCCTGGAGACAGGTAAATTGGGGGTGGGGAAGGTGTGGGCACATCTGTGAGCACCAGTCTGAGTGGAACAGAGGTGGCTGTGGGGAGTAGAGGCAAGTAGGGTTTGGGCCAGTGTGAAGCCCCATTCTGGGTGGGTGACACCAAAGACTACATTCTTTAGCTAACTTCCACTTTTAGTCTCTCTGCACTCATTTTCCCCACTTTTAAAGACTACCTCTCAACCGCTCCATGGGGCTCACACCTAAGTTCATCAGTCCAGTTCAGTAGGCTTCTTGAGTGCCTGTTGGGTGCCAGGCTCTGGGATAGAAATATTAAAAAGCTGCTCTTAGGGACCCTTCAGTAGCGGTAATATGCGCGAAAGGTGTTCTGGAGCTGCAAAGCATTAGGCTCATAGTAGCAGAGTCAGCAGAGTAATTATTACTCTGTCTCATGCCTGGCCTCACGCGGACATTCTAACCTGGTGCTGTTTGGTTGAGCACAGAGTCTGCCCATCTCGAGCAGCAGCCAAGCCCACAGTTTGACATGCACAGCCTGCATTTCTTGCATCCAACCTGCTCTTCATTCTGGAAGGTGGTTCCCGAGTAGGATGTGCGCTTCAGAGAGAGCCAGCAGTGGTGTAAGAGACGAAGTATGGAGAAAGGAAGATTACTTACTTTTATGTCCACCTTTTCTCTTCTGAAACAAGCTTCAAAGTGTGACTGTCTTAATCCCAGCCCTCCACGACCAACCACTGGGAGTTGGATGTGATAGGTCGGGGGTTCCCTAAGCCAGGTCCAGTGCTCTGCAAGTGTTGGCAGTTTTTCTTGTGGCTGGAAAACGTTTTTAGATAATCTTTTCCCAAGACTTGGATTCATTTGCATGAAAAGAAGAGTGATTCTGACCAGAATATTGGGGGTGGGAGAAGGACCATCTGTTGTCTCCATAGTTCTGCTTTGATGAGCCTGTAAGGAGATACTCTGCTGCAGGGTTATGTTTGTAAATTGGGTGGGTGGACAGAACCCGCTTCCTAGTGCCCCTCGAACGCTAGGCGTTTGATGCTAGCGTGGCTGTTTGTATCAAGAATGACTAGTTCTTGCTCAGGTTGCTATGACCTTTGGCAGTGTGCAGAAATCTTTTACTGCAGTAATTTTTTTTTAGTCTTTACAACCCTATGAGAGACACAGGAAGAAAACTGAAAGGAACTTATAATTATTAAGCACCTACTATATGCAAACTCCGCTCATGGGATCTCATTTAATCTTCACAACATTTAATTGTTTGAGTGCTATTGTCCCTGTATTGCTTATAAGGAAGTTGTGAGGTTAATGACTTGTGCAAGGTCAATGACAGGTAAACCCAGAATCCACTCCTGATCTAGTGCTCATCCTGTGATTCCATGTTGCTTTCGGCTCTACAGATCCCGGATTCAGGCTCATCAGAATCACCTGGAAGCCTTGTTCAAACAGTTGCTGGGGCCTAGCATTCTAACAAGTTCCCAGGTGCTGCTGCTGGTCCAGGCAGCACACTTAGAGAATATTGCTCTGCGTGAAAAGTTCTACTTTTTTAATATCTTTTTTTATCCTTCCTTAAACATTAAATGTGGATCTTATGGAAGACTAGAGGCTCAGTGCACAAAATTCGTGCGCGGGTAGGGTCCTTAGCGGCTGCCGGCTGCCAGCCAGAGCGCCTCCCTTCCCCTGGCTGCCGGCCACCCCTGCTGGCTGGGGGGGCCTCCTTTCCCCCGGCCTCCTGCCACTGCCGCCCCCTGTTCAAACTCCCGGTCCTGGGGACAATTTGCATATTAGGCTTTTATTATATAGGAGGGTAAGTATGACCATTTAGAATTCATTCATTCATTCATTCATTCAGTGGCCTAATAGTGACTGTCTGTAGGTAGCAAACTAAGCATTTGCCGGATGTTCAGAGTAGTAAGGGAGCTAATATAGGTACCTAAGTCAGATAAGAAAGAAAATAGTGGCACAAGATTGGACAGATAAATGAAGTAAGTAGTGATAATAATAAAGGCTTTTGCTTTTTTAAAAAGTTCAGTATTGTATTAATATGTGCCAGAGACTGAGGTAGGCACTTTATATATCTGCAGTCCTTTAAACTTCACAGTAATACTATGAGTAAGGCACTGTTACTATTTCCATTTGCAGATGGGGACACTGCAGCAACGAGGCCACACAGCTCGCAGTGAGGGAGCTGCAGTGGAACCCAGCATTCTGCTCCAGAGCTGGTGTTCTGTTACCTATGGGAGGGGGAGGGAGCGCTCAGGAAGGGGGAAGGAGGAACTCTGAAGGACTCAGAGGTGGTGCTGCGCAGGGCTTTGACAGATGGGTAGGATTTGAGTCTACGACAGCAGCTTGATTGAAGGCTGGGTCCTAGGGGTAGGTGGGGGTTGGAATTGGTTCTATTTGCTTAGCAAGGGGGGTGCTGTGGAAGATGAGACTGGAAAGGTAGGAAAAACCTGATTGTGGAGGGCTTCAAATGGTGGGCAAGTACGAATAGTTTGGGCTCTTACATTGGTGGTACTGGGGGGCCGTGA